AAAGCATTAAAACTTTCGCATATCATCTTCGCATCTTACTGCTTGTTCTAAAATGTTCGAAACTTGTAGTAGTTCTTAAAGTCCCACATGTATGTGCGTAGGCTACACTAACAGTTCCCATGTACAGGCGCCTGGTGCCCAGGTGGTGGCTGCCACGAGACAGTTACGCTAAGAACACGAGCCTCCACCCATCAAAAACCCAATGCCTTCTGACTTCTTATCACCACCACCCCCTCATGGGGCGATTGAAAGCTCTTCATGTTGATCTGCGCTTGGAATTTGCTACTCATATATAGCTGTCTCCTTTGCGTCATTCCTCAAAAGTACTACAGTAGGCTGCAAGCACGCCGAGTTCTTGAACAAGATGCAAGGTCGAGCCTTTGGTTGTCTTGCTATTCTCGTCGTGAGTTCAGAGCTTCAATGTCTCACCTCCAGTCTCATTCCATTTCAGTTCGTCTAATTCTTCAAAATGTTTTCATTGCTTTACCCAATCGTACAAAGCTAGTCCTTAGCTTATTGGTGGCATCACCTCTACAGTAACATTTGATTGTCTTTATCACATTTCACAATCCTGCTTGTGTCAACTTGTGCGCATCGTGATAATTGCTTGATTGGTTGAGTAGTCCGTTTGCCGTGGCTAGACCACTCCTTCCTCACGGTGACTGCGTGTTTACAACTCACCGCGCGAACTTCACCTTGCGAGCCACGACAAAACTTTTTTCTGTTTTCTCTCATCTCCCATCGCTACTCTTCTCAGCACATATCACTTCTAAACGTCAGATACAATCGCAAGACGAACATGGCGCGAGGCCCTCGCAACAAGCCAAACCGGGCCAACAAGCGGGCAGGCGCCGGCACGGCTTCCCACAGAGGCTCACAAGCACCACCATTTAACAATACATATGAGAGCCTAGAACAGCTGGATTGTGAATGTAAGTCTTGTCCTGTGTCTCGCATCAGCCCATATCTCGCCGTAGCAAAGGAGTCTCATATTCCTTGCCTACGGAGCTGCAGAGCTTCTATCTTCGCTTAGATTAGTAGGAATCGCTGTGAAAATGGCTAACCTTCTGGCAGATGGAGAACTGAATGCCAATCTTACAGAGCGCTTCCGCAGCATGCCCTTCAACGCCTCCAGGAATGTCTCTGTTTCGCACGACGACATCCCCATGTCTGAACCATTCCGCGCCAACAACGACATCCGAGAGTACTTCAAACTAGCTAAGAAACCTGTCACTGGAGGGGCATGGCTGCATATGCCAGAGATCCCGAACCCTTCGGAGGTTCTGTGCGAAAAATCCGAATATAAGAACGACGAGGCGCTCATTGAGGTTGACGAGAGAATTCGTCCACACAAGCCCAAGGGTGCATACGACGACAATGAAGACTATTTGAGGACCAAGTACGAGCTTCTACGTGAAGATGCTGTTCGACCGCTCCGTGAGGCTATCGACGAGGTTCGTGCCGATCCGTTCAAGAATGAAGCAGAGTACAGGAATCAGAGCATCGGAGTCTATGATCCGGTTTATATCACGTCACTCGTATTTTCGCCGCGAGGCTTAGCAACGCGGGTCGCCTTCTCCCTCGGCCGGGTCAAGAAGTACATCCGGTAAGCCGATGTGTAGATGCAGATTTGACTCTAACTAACGAATCTAGCTGGGAGCAGTCGAAGAGGCTGATCACTGGCACTCTTGTTGCCTTATCCCCTACCGATGATGCATTCCAGACCCAATGTGTGCTCGCTATAGTTGCGGCTCGTCCTCTCTCCGCACTAGAGCAGAACCCACCTGAGATTGATCTCTTCTTCGCGCGTCCAGAGGACCAGGAGATAGATCCTATGCGCAAGTGGATTATGGTAGAGTGTCGAAGCAGCTTTTTCGAAGCATCTAAACATACACTGCTCGCTCTCCAACACTTGATGAGGGAGCCATTTCCGATGTCCAAGTACCTGGTCCACGTCCAGAAAGAGGTAGACCCTCCGGCCTACATCAAACATAACCCTTACGTCAATCTGAGCTCACTCATAAGTATCGAGGAGGGTAGAGATTACGAGAATGTGAATGTACTGGAGGGTTGGCCCACAACTTCCTCGCACTCGCTCGACAACTCTCAGAGCAGGGCATTGAAGCGTATACTAACAAGCGAATTGGCCATTATACAAGGGCCTCCAGGAACGGGAAAGACATTTGTGTCTATAGTCGCACTCCAAATTGCCTGCAACAATTTGCGCAAAGAGGATGCGCCTATCATTGTTACAGCTCAGACCAACCACGCTCTTGATCAATTGCTCCGCCATACGTCACAATTTGAACCCAATTACATTCGTTTGGGAGGCAGAAGCAAGGACAAGGAAATCAAGAAACGAACATTATTCGAAGTTCGCTCAGAACTACCTCGACAAAAGCAGCCTGGCAGCCAGAAGGTGCAAGCCACTATTGCGATAAGGAAGTTGACTACTCAGCTTCAGGTTCTGCTTGCGCCTTTGGAAGTCGGCAAAGTGCCGCTTGATCACAAGCTCCTACGAAGTCTTGGACTGATCACCCAGGATCAAGCCGAATCACTGGAGATGGAATCGCAATGCACGATGGGAGTTTCACCCTCTGATAGTCCAGGGATTCTCATGGAACAATGGCTGGGTAGATGTCTCGCTCCATGTGATCGGCCAATCGGTCCAGAACAGTTCGACTGGAGATATGAAGAAGACGACTTCGAGGTCGAACAACTGAAAGAGCTTGAGGCGGAAGCCGTGGCTCAGGATGACGATGATATCGAGGCATTACCCGGACCACTGATCCAACTCAGCGACAATTGGAAGGGTACAGGGAATCTGCTGAGCAACGCCGACATCCAAGATATCTTACGAAAAACGGATGACCTAACAACAATTCGTGTCGCTGATCGCGGTACGATCTACAACTACTTCAAGCGCCAAGCCAAGAAACTCATTCTTATCGAAATTCGCAGGCTCGCGAAACTTTATCAAGAAGCAGTTATACAGCGCAAGGTGGGTATGTGGGAAGAAGATGTACGTGTTCTCAGCAAGGCACGCATCATCGGCTGCACAACGACCGGTCTCGCAAAGTATCGTGCTCTACTCTGCGCTCTCCGACCTCGGATTTGTGTTGTAGAAGAAGCGGCAGAAACACTCGAGGCTCCTGTCACCGCTGCTTGTTTCCCTAGTCTCGAGCACCTCGTCTTGGTCGGTGATCACCAACAGCTGCGCCCTCACACCCAGGTGCGTGCCTTTGAAGACAAACCATACTTCCTGAACTTATCACTCTTCGAGCGTTTAGTCTGTAATGACGTCGCCTTCGATACGCTTACCCGACAACGTCGTATGATACCTGAGATACGACGACTGTTATATCCCATCTACCAGGACACACTCAAGGATCACAAGAGCGTAAAGGATCTTAGTAACCGCCCGCCAGTCGAAGGCATGGGTGGAAACAACAGTTTCTTCTTTTGTCACGACTGGCAAGAGACCCGCGATACTTACATGTCGGCGCTGAACCCAATGGAAGCACATATGATAGTCCAATTTTTCGACTACTTAGTTCTGAACGGTGTCGATGCTACCAAGATTACGGTATTGACCTTCTACAACGGTCAGCGCAAGGAGATCATGCGGAGGCTCCGGGCGCATCCGAATCTACGTGGCGGAGTGCACGATATCCAGGTAGTAACTGTGGACAGCTACCAAGGCGAGGAGAACGATATCGTCCTACTTTCTTTGGTACGATCAAACCACAAACATTCCATTGGGTTCCTGAACTCCGAGAACCGCGCCTGTGTCGCCCTTTCCCGAGCCAAACGCGGCTTCTACATCTTCGGAAATGCAGAGCTTCTTGCGTGCGAAAGCGGTACTTGGGCTTCAGTCATTGAGATAATGTGGAGGAATAAGAAGGTCAGGGTGACGACAGGCCAAGAGCGGCGGATAGGTTATCAGTTTCCGCTCGAATGCAGCAACCATGGACGCAAGATATGGTGCGAAGTGCCCGAAGACTTTGAACTTATCAAGGGTGGATGTGACATCAAGTGCCAAGGGTCGTTGCCGTGCGGACATCGCTGCCCATACCCGTGTAAGTGTGCCAATTTACGAACTATATGGAGGCGCATACTAAATCGCTTACTAGGTCATCCCTTTGAACATCACAGGATCAACTGCACGCAGAAATGCTCCAGGCGCCTTGGGACTTGTGGTCATCCTTGTATTGGTACGTGTTGCCTTCAAATACAAGCAAGACTCCTTACTGACAATCTTTAGCGGAGTGTTGCGACCCGTGCAAGTGTCATATGTGCGACCGTCGCAGTGGTGGCGTCAAATCGACTTTGAAACCAGTAAACGGGGCGGCACCGTTTCGCGGAGCCCGGCCAAACACGCGAAGCTTGATGCTCGAAGACACGTTACCCGGCCCTGGATCCTCTAAACGTGGTGTCCAGACCTATGCGCCCACTCAACGCATGACGACCCCGGGTCTATCAGATTGCACTACGGTACAGTGGGATGTCTACGCTAATGGCGGTGGTGTACAGGAAGACGATGCACGTGCATACGCGAAGATGCAGGTGGAAGCCCTATACTATGCACGTCGAACATCTACTCCTGGGACCGAGACTACAGGCGGCAAGCTGATTGAGCTGTTGCCAGAAAAGGACGCAATTGTTTCCAAAAACACGGGCTTGCTTCTTGATCTTGACGTCGAACCATTGGTCCCAGAGAGTCATCCCCAAACGCCGCGGTCATATGCAAATGCTGCGAAGCCCTACGTCAACCTTTTAGATTGAATGACTATACGCAACAATGGAGTTTTGGCGTGATCAGTGCGTTCGTGCTTGAAGTGTACCGGTGGATAGTTATGTGCAATCATATCGACGTGAACTAGGAGAACATGCATCGATACAGGGTATTGGTAGAAGGTATGCATAGCAACTCTAGCGCAAAGGACTCGTGTCCGGGGTATATAGCTAAATCTTCAGATCGCTCAACATCTTTGCCATGCTCAATCTTTCCTGTCCCCATCCGTCTGGACCTCGAACACTTCGCCAGCCAGCTTTGCGACATCACCACCAAGCTCCGCAAGTCCGGCCTTGATACTTTCAATCGTCTGCGACGTCAAGTTGCCTTTCCGCGAGTAGAAGTCTACACCCGCAGGGGTAAACAACGTCTTTGCAAAGTACGTCACGACCCAACTGTTGTCAGTGCCCTCCTCGTCGCCATAGCCTAGTATCTCCCATTTGCTCGTCGCAATCACCAACCACCCCTTGCCACGCCAGTTGTAGCCGAGACTCGCCACTTCTCCGCCCTCTGTACCTGACGCTGAGGCTGTATTTGGTACATCAAACGGCTTGTCAACACCATGCACAGTCTTGATCTTCTCGGCGCCCAGAGATTGGTACGTGACTACGTCGTCGATCTGAGCGGGCTGTGTGGAGGGAATGGCAGTGTATGTGATGCGCACGTTGCGCGATTTCTTCCACATGGGCAGCGTGGAGTGGGTTACATTCCAGGAGCCTGAAAGCCATGACAGGGCGGGTGGTGCGAGCGAGGGGGAGGGTTCGGTGGACGGCAGAGACGATGGAGCGCGGAGGGTTACCATGGTGAGGTGACTTTGTTTGGTGGGGTGAGGGCGGTTGGTGATTGGCGATGTATGTGTGGAGATGGACGCGTGGAATCTGGAGATGTTTTTGTGGGTATTAGATGATTATGACGATTGACAATTGTTGACGGTGGGTGTTGATGAGGTTGGACGGACAACGAATTTTCGACGTGGCTGGGGGAGCGGTCTGACGTTTGTTAACAGAGTCGCGAAGCTGTCGCGATGTCAGTCGTCTGGAGACGGGTACTTGGAAGCTACTATATGCTTCATATTTGCTTTTGATCAGCTGTAGATCCCATCTACACTTAACACATCATCATTTCCATCACCACCGCGTCTCTCATCAGCACTCGATAACGCGACAGGGCTAACAGATCGACGCTACCGGGAGCCAACGCAGCCGGGGGCACGTGCCAAGCCACCAGCCGTATCCCGCCACTCCAACAATAGATCGTCCTACCTACTTCCGAACTTCGCCTCAGCACCCCAGGGTCCATCAAAAATCGAATAACCTGACATCACCTTTTCCGCCTGCCCGCCTCCGACGCGTAACGCCCTGTCCATGGCCAGTGAAATTCGACTGTCTGTCCCACCATCTGCGGTCTTCCTAGAAGCCGATGTCGCCAGTTAATGCATCGTAACCCATGTTTCGACTGCGTCGCGGCGGCTCTCGGTTGGCCGGGGGCTGACGAGGCCTGAAACTCTTGCACCAGTTTGTCCACGTCGCTTCGTGGGCTGTGCAGTGAGTACGAGAACACCGTTTGCGAAGTGCTTGCCAGGCTCCACTCTTTGTGGCAGTTTGATGGTTGGTAGCGCGCCACTTTTTTCCTGCGCCCAGTCACCACCTGTTTCCATGATTACCGTATACAGGCTTGGGTGGCTAGGCTGAGACGACTGCTGCGTAATAGTATAATAGCATTGTGATCCCCAGTCTTGATGATTGTAGAGTAACTACTTTTGCTTTTTCCAACGGGTTTACATCATTGAACGACGTTGTTCCTTTAACATTGTTTGGGGATATTGCATAGATTGCTTGATTGTTCTCCAGTACACGGCTTACGACCTCCATTTGACGACGACCACGACCACGGAAAGGCGCTGCTAAGCTCACTGTTCGAGAGGAACTATCCTACAAACTCAACGCACACATCAACATGTTTTCAAGAAGCATACTACTCCAAGCTTCGGCTCTTTTGCCCTTGCTATACGCACCCGCCTCCGCACAAAACGCTTGCAACAACTCGCCCGACCTATGTACCCGCCCATACAACAACATCACATACCTGGGTGCGCATAATTCTCCATTCCTAAGGAATAAAGAGACATCGTTCTCCACATCTGGAAACCACTACTACAACACCACAACACAACTCGATGCTGGCGTGCGCCTTCTCTCAGGTCAAGTTCACAAGGCCAACGGCACTGGCAACGATGCATGGCATCTCTGCCATAGCAGCTGCGACCTGCTCGACGCTGGAACTCTGGAAAGCTGGCTCGGTGAGATAAAAACCTGGATGGACGCCAACACAAACGACGTTGTAACCCTCCTCCTCGTAAACTCCGACAACGCCTCCCCCGCAGATCTCGGCGGAGTTTTTTCCTCATCAGGACTCGACAAAATCGCCTACTCACCCCCAAGCTTGACAACTACACCGCAAACATGGCCCACGCTCGACACTCTAATCGGCAACAACACCCGCTTGATGTCTTTCGTCGCCAGCCTCCCGAACCCCTCGTCAGACTACCCATACCTCATGGACGAATTCGTCTACATGTTCGAAAACGACTATGAAAACGTCTCCCCTTCAAACTACTCCTGCAACCCATCGCGCCCGGAAGCCGTTGCTGGAAACCCCTCTACAGCTCTAGAGTCTGGTCGCATGTTCCTGCAAAACCATTTCTTGTACGAGACTCAGCTCTTTGGTATCCAATCTCCCAATGAGACCTATGCCAATGTCACCAATGCGGAGACCGGCTTTGGAAGCTTAGGCGAATCGATACAGGAGTGCGAGGGTATCTACGGAAAGCCGGCCAGTTTCGTCATGGTAGACTTCTTCAACGTCGGACCTGCGATTGCGAGTGTAGATCGCGCAAACGGCGTAAGTGGCGCACAGGGCAGAAAGAGTCTCAGCACAGAGGCGTTGGTGCAAAGTACTGGTGCTGGAGTCAGAGAGAGGGGAAGCTTACTGGCTGTGGTTTTGGCAGTCGGTGTCGCTGTTTTCTTTGGAGCGTAATAAGTGACAAGAGAGATTGGTATTAGAACTTGCGGCAACTTTGGTTATTTGCATGGCGATGGCGTTTAGGTCTTTGGAACTCCTAGATTTTGGATGCTCGGATTAGGATATACTGGATGGACGAACAAAAGACGCGGCGCGTTTTCGCGCTTCGCTACGTCTGGATATGTAGCTTAGGTAGAGATAGATATGACGTTACGATGAAAGACGATCTCATCAATCAAGCAACTCGATTACTCTTCAATAGGTCTACTGCTTCATCATGCATACTGAACTACTCTTGGAAAGGCGTGAATTTCTCCAACACACTCTCAGCCTCCTTCAGATCATCCATCAGTACTCGCTTGTGCGCCTCACTCCTAACTTTGATCTCACATTCAAATTTCCGAGGCCGTATGTTGAAGCCCTCGGTATAGGCAAAAGTATCATACTTCACCCCTGCTTTAGGCTGAATATCAAAAGCCCACAGAATCTTCGCTAGCGCAATGTACAGACTATTCTCCGCAAGATTGGCACCAGGGCAGATGCGCCTTCCCCAGCCAAACGACGAGTGACCTGATTTCGCTGGATGGGGCTTGCCCGTGAGCGGTGTTGGTGCTTTGGAGCGTTCCACAAGCGCCTCATCGAGGAAGCGTGTGGGATCGAAGAGGTGTGGATTTGGATAGTACTCCTCGTTGAGGTTTATGGCCCATGAGTTCCCTAGAACAGTGGTGCCAGAAGGGATATAGTATCCTTCGTAACGATCATCCTCTGTGGAGGCGTGAGGTGTACCTCCGAGAACGGCAACAGGACGCCAGCGAAGAACTTCCTTTACCAGAGCGCGAATATATGGCAGGTTCGTTTCGTCTTCAAACGTAGGACTGCGGCCAGTGCCGATGATGGTGTCCAATTCGCGATGGGCGGCGTGTAGGGTCTCGGGATGCGTGACCAACGCTAGGAAGGCAGTGCAGAGTGTCGAGGCCGTAGTATCAGACCCAGCGCCAAAAAGCGATGCCGGGATGTAGGAGAAATTGCGATCCGACAAGGGAATATGCTCAGTCTCTCGCAATTCGAGCAGAAGCTTGCAGAGTGAATCTGGAATATCGTCGCCCTGGGTCTTTGCTCTCGCAAGATCCGAGCGTACGACATCCACCAAGGCCATGTTCGCAGCTGCTTCCTCGCGACCACGGGCTTTTATATCAGCCTTCCAAGGCGCCAGAGCATCTGGGACATGCTTCAAGATGGGGAAGGACTCGACGAGGTACTTTCCAGGCACGTTCAGCGATGCGGCGACATGCATGAACTTGAAGCGCTGGTGGATGACGTTGGCATTGAGCGAGTCAATGCGGTGTCCGTATGCGACGCAGAAAACGATGCTGGAAGTGAATCGTTCGAGGAGTTTCTCCCAGTTGGCCGGGCTGTTGAGGAGCTGCTGGCAAAGCCGCGATGCCTCTGCTGTTTGAACGGGCTTGTACAACCTCAGCGCCCTGGGTGTCAAAGCCTGATGTAGCAGCTTCCTCCGCACACTCCATTCTTTGCCATATGGCTGTACCAGTATACTAGCATTGTCCCACAGTATCTCGCCCATAGCCACCATACGCGGACGCGACGAGTACTTTGTGCTCCGCTTCTCCATCAGCTCGACAGCGATGTTGGGGTCGGATATGATGACAGTAGGCTTGCGGCCGATCCATATCGTGAAGATGGGACCGTATATCTTGGACCACTCCTGGAACTGGATCCAGGGCTTTGATTTTGGGAGTTGAAGTTTGTTGCCGAGAAACGGGAGAGGCGTGGGACCTGGAGGCATTCGGAGCCACACCCAGACATCGTGGAGAAGCGTCGCGAGGGGTACAGCGAGGGCGATAGAAAGCCACAAGTAGGGTGGTAGGTGAAGGAGAGAATCTAGCGCCATGTCAACAAGGGTGCGTAGAGGATAGACGCTGATGCTATCTAGGGCTGTCGAGCACTTGGAGGGCGATATGTACTCGCGACATCAGACTTGAGCGCTCTTACAGCTTCCAACGTGATGCTCGGCAGTTGTACTTGCTCGCTACTGTTGCTCCGCGATGCATGGCGGGAGGAGGATGCGGGGTGCTTATTCGTTCACTCATCCGTTCATCATGCCAAAGAGCCGCCCCACCGTCTAGCGGTCGGCCTGCTCTTTCCACTCATGCATCGTTGTGAGAATGAAACTAAGCCTGCCTTGTCGAACCGGTATTTGCTCAAAGTCATGATTGCTGGCGAGAGACAGTGATGACATGTCGCGCTCGGGGTAATTTACCCGGACTAGCGCGTTGCGGGGAAGGTCCGGGACAGGAGAGGAGGATTGCGATTGCACCCGCAACTTTACACCTACGCACGCCGTCTCTATGCGCTTACTCTGATTGACATGTCACTACTAAAACGCATGGTATCATTTTCTGCGCCACATAGAACGCCGCCGATAATCTCGAAGGTGCCCGCCTTCGAGAATGCTGGACGCGTATCCGTCATCGTGAAGGGCGGTTCCGCTAAATCATTCATGACCATGGCATCGAAAGAGCTATCAAGACAATCATGTTGCTGACGTTTCAAATTTTTCCTGTTGATCGTAAGGGAACCTAGGTCAACTCATATGGATATTACAAACTCAAAGGTCGCTTTTGTTGCCAAATGAGTCTTGTTTATCTCACCCCATACAATTGAAGGCCCATGAATACTACTACCAACGCTATACGGACGCGACAAACCCAGTCGAGTTTATATTTGGCCCTCTTTAGAATGACGGGGTAGAGGATGCGCGGCACATTTCCCAACTCGAGGGACTGATGGAGCTTAGAGAGCTACACTTCAATGTCTGAGTCTTTGAGTGTGCTTGATGTGAAATATCGTCGCTTCAGACCCTGCGTATCGGTCGTGGATGCAGTCTAGAGGATTGCGATACCCTTCAAGACGTCGAGTCGTCCATTGGTACTCTGACGTGGGACTAGTGTACTGTGGAACTCAAGATCAAGCATTCGGAATAAATAGGCAGCTTTCTCTTGTGCTTCTTGTCTTTTAAGGAGTTAGGAAATCCTGTCCTGTAAACACTATAGTTATGCAAGTCTACTAAGGTCACGCATATCGTCTAAGAAAGTACACCGCAGTATCTTAAAGTTGAACGTACCAAAGCGACACTGCAGATTACTCTCTACATCATAAAGTTAAGAAGCAGCTTTCAGACTCTACAATCACACTACGACGTCTGGCATTGAACCCGTCAACAAAGAATTGTGAGAATTGATTCTACGTTGAGGTCTTTGACGATTCAGATTACAGCAACTTTACCAAGCTATATCACGTCGAAATCCCCGATTTCTTGCTTACAGGCAGATTTTTACGTTTACGAGAAGAATAGGCTGGCAATGTATTGCGTCCCACTCTGGAAGAACTACGCTGGTAAACGGGTCAGGATTGAGTGATGGTTGGGTAGGAGTTGTAAGACTCTGACCCAACCACAACCAAATTAATACCCATCGCTGGGCATACTATACCCTTTTACCAGCGTAGGAAGAACCGCTCATTACTCGTATTGATGAGACGAGCAGCAATATCTGAGATATTCAACATGGTATTTTCTTTACATATCATCAACACAGCGACTCCTCAAAGCTGTGCGAG